GTATTTGTAAGGTTAGCGTGTCCCCACAGACGGTAAGGCGTTTTCTGAGGTGGAGCGGGGCTGCTTATGCTAAGATTCCAACAGCTCCAAGGTTAACTCCGGCCCATAAAGCAGCCCGAGTGAGTTTTGCCTCCGAGCACTTGCTTGCGGAGACTGATTTCTCGACGTGGATTTTCTCTGACGAAAAGCGATTCAATTTGGACGGCCCAGACGGCCTGCGCTACCGATGGATGTTTCCCGGACAAGAGAAAGCGGTTCTGTCGAAAAGAGCATTTGGTGGTGGGTCTATCATGGTCTGGGGTGGGATAGCTGGATCTCATAAAGTAGCCCTGGTGGAAATACAGAGCAACATGAACAGCAAGGTCTACCAGTCCATGCTCGAGATGAACTTGCTACCATTCCTGGAAGCGGGGGAGGAGGAAGGAATCGAGTACACCTTCCAACAAGACAATGCGAGGCCTCACGTATCTTCTTCAACTAAATAATGGCTGGCACGCAATGGCGTGGCAACCGTCCAGTGGCCAGCAGTGAGTCCAGATCTGAACTGCATCGAGCACTGCTGGGGCAGGATGGCTCTAGCCGTCTATGCAGGGGGTAGAGGCAGAGAAATCGAAAAAATCCTGTATGTTCTATTATTTTGTCAGGGGGTTTAGATGTTCGCCACCTCATAGGGTGTGGAAGGTTATTACGTTTCAGCTAGGAAAGAATTAGATTATCGACGCGCCCAGTAGAAAGAGGTCATTGGGGACAAGGATAAGGATGCTTCCTTCAACGAATTCGGCAACCCCGCGTAGGTTGATGAAGCTTGACAGGAAACGATGACTCGTCCATGTATTGACCCTTTGTGTGATGTAGTCGTGGAATATGAAGTCATCTCGTGTTCATGTACAACAAAGCGTGTTCCTCGAAAGAATTTCCAAAGCGGAGGAGATAGAAGGAAACCAAACGGAAACATTGAGGTCGATGCATAGTCAAACTAATTCGAAGTCATGGGAAGTAGGCTTGGATCAATAACACAACTGGGCCTAATCAGGCGGACGCGGAGCCTCTCTAGTGGGGTTGATATCTATGAAATTCGGCAAGGTACCCAGCGGAGAGTGTCAGTGTCATGACAGACGCAACGTCTGACGTCGTTAATTAGCGCAGTCTTTGATATTCCCTTCTCTTATCATCCACCTCCATCATCTCTAGGCGCACGAATCGGATAGCCTCATTGCTTTGGAAGCTAGCGATGCCTTCTGGTCTACTACCCGAGTCCTGTTTGAAAGGACAGAGATTACTTTGAAGTGTACGTTTACAGATGTTATGAAGTGACAGTAGCTACTAGAGTGATTTCAAAACGGAATGGTCACACCACCGAATGCGCAGTACACAGGACACAAATAATGATCACAGCTCGTTTGAAACTTTTCCTTTTTTCATTGACCTACTGTATGTTATCACGCATCATAAACTCGAGAAGTGTTGTTATATTATAAAGAAGCACTTTCTGCCAAAAATATCCATCGCACGCGAAGGTGTCAGACATCGTCACAGTCGTTTCCCTTCTCCTAGCTTCCACCCAGCAAGTAAACCGCAACAGCTGGGTAACAGTAAATGCTCTACTTTGGACGAGGCTTCTCCCCCCAACGCCATTCGACGACCACCGTGTTGATTCGAAGTTCTTCAACATGTTAAAAGTTTCCTCCAGAAGGACCCGAGGCCACCATCACCGTGCCTCAAGGGGTAGCAACTCACGTTGAACAACAAGAGGACCCTCGAATAGTCGCACTAAGACGTGATGAGGGGAGAAACGGAGAGTGGTGTGGCACGTGCATGATGATCATTGATGGATGGATCCACGAAGACACGACGGAGAGCCTCACTGACGCTCGTCCGGGAGGATGGCCGTTCCGGAAGTCTTCTGAAACATGGATCCTCCTAGCAGAGGTGCACAAATTTTGGCGTTTACGAAGAGTCGTGTTGTCAGCACGAAGTTTATTGCGATTCCAAAACTGCATAACGCGACGCTCGTTCACAGAAAGGAGAGAAAAAGGCCACTTGTGACCATAAAGACAACACCATAACATGCGGACATCATTCGGGCACTTTCGATCGACGTAGAGCTGAGGGGAAAGGGATTGAATGAGCATGCGGACAGTGGGGACTCACCAATGGCTGCTTCTAATGCTGCCGAGTTGCTACCATATGTCTCCACTGAGAAACGCCTCTGGATTTGCTTGCCGTTCTCCATCCAATTAGCGACCCAGTGACAGGGGCCCTCCCAATATACTCCAACCACACCACTTTGTTTCGCACACGTTCCCATTCTACTGGGTACAGCCTCACCACGGCGTTCGGCATCCCTACGGCACTCTGAGGAGCCAGGATGACGTAGCATCACTCAAAGTTGCTCATGCTCACTCGTGGCCAAAGCCAGTGCCTCCTCATCACCATACTTCGAAACGCGGAAGCATTTGGTCACTTTCCGTCCATCCTTTGCACGCCACTGAGCACACCATCCCTTCTGCTTCGTGCCCCAGTATACTCCAAGGACTCCACTTCGCCTCGTGGCTGTCCTCCGAGCATTGACCCGGGCAGCATCACCATAGAGAGACACAGCACGGGAGGTGCCTTCGCCACTTCCTCCGTCGGAGGCTAACTGGATGCGTCTAGCGGTGCAGATTTATCACGAACCTTACAATCGTTTCGTTGCTGGCTGGTCCCAACAAACTCAGCCTGTCCAGTAGTGCCGGGCTTGAACACCTTAGCTGCCACTTCGTGACAAGTACTATCTAGCGCCCCAGGTGCGAGGTTGGCCACTGCCTCCTGAATCACAGAAACCCGCCTCCAGCAGCTCCCCTCAGCCCAGATGCCTACGGGAAGCTTCGACTGCACAGCCTCCCTCAGTTCAGTTCGCCACTGTGATTCGAACATGGAGTAATCTGGGAAAGTGTGGTGGACGGTATGGGGTTGGGAATCTCACCAAGCCTCGGTGGTTGGATGCTCTGTGTGACTCTGAGGACCAACTCCTCAGCAATTCGTTGGACGAGGAAATCCACGTCTTGGTAGTTGGCCCTGCTGATACCCAAATTATCAGCGTATCCCCGCAGAGCTTCGACGCCAAATGTAGACTTTAATAAAGGGATAAGCCTTCCCTCTAGTGAACGACTACTGAATGAGATACGACATTGACTTTGAGGGATCGGCGGAATCTTACAGTTTCAACAACTCGGAGTCTAAATTCTCCTTAGATCCCTAAAAGGCATTGAGTGACGGATCCCGTATAAGTTCTCTCATCAGCCATGGTCACTGATCGAGTCCCACCTCAAAGTTGAATGATCGACTCCTCCACCTCGGTAGGGTCGTGCATTGGACGCGAGATAGGTCTCGCTCCCTGATTACGATTGATATGATAGACGCGGTAGATTTGGGAAGGGTACCAATAACCATCCAGACATCGCATGATATTCACACATCGACGGTTGCATCTTCCATCCCCTTCGACTACCACTGAGTCATCTGCTCGAGGGTCTTCCACGTGATGATAGCGATGCTTACTCGATCGCCGCAAGATGGGACATCTTCCATGTGCGGCATCTACTAGCATACTGAGAGGCACCTTGAATATCTCTCGTGGAGGGTTGATGGAATCAGACGATAGCAATGGTCGTAACAAGATGCCGATGTTGTTGTGTACGATGCCTAATGATGGAGGCCTCCCAACGGCACTCGGCGGTAGGAAGCCTCACATCCATCGAGGCCCTCGAGAGGAAAAGGCGGATCTACACTGACTCTCAGCCATCCGATTTTAGTCTTCAACTCGGCAGTCGTAAGGGGAAGGGAGCTCACTCTACCAGGGCACAGTGACGGGCACTCAGTCACCTGCCGAAGCTCATCAGCCCCGACTGGGATTCCCGGCCAGCAAGCGACCGTCCAACACCGTTAGCTACTATCGTGTATCCGTCTTGTATGAAGCCGTCAGCTTCTAGTTTCACGAACGAACTCTCCAGGTCATCATCCACCGACTCTATTCCAATGCACTCGTTGATGAGCGAAATAAGTTCGTCGGGAACGGCTTCTAGTATTAACTGTGGAGAGTGGTTGGTGACTACGGTCTGCGACAGAACGGTTCCCGCTGGTATTTACTGAACGTCTTCTATATAGGTCAGTAGTTTCCAGTGTTGGCCGCGGCTCAGCCTGAGCCATGGCCAGCATCGTCTCAACGACAGCCCGCTGGTCACTGATTGTGAGGTACTGAAGGTGTGGAGTGCAGGGAGGTCGTCCCTGTGATGACCAACCTCAAAACAAGGTTTCACCTTCACGAGGCACGATAACTCCTCTCCATGGAGGCAGCCAGCCTGATGTGTACACTAATGATATAAAGTCGATGGGCCCTACCGAAGGGTCTCTCGTTGCATAGGCCTCTATCAGGTCACCATTAGTGAGGAGGGATGGTAGACAACAAATACCAATCTCATCACGGCTCCCTCTTCTATGCTCCATACAACAGCGATTCCAATAACGAAGCATCTGTCCGGCATAACAACTGTGTTGGAGTCTCGAGGTATAATCAGTTCACCTCTTTTACTGTCTCGACATGATCAACCGCGGTATCTTCTGACTTCACAACAGGTGCCTTCTGAGGCTTCCTTCTTGCCTGTCGTTTTCTAGCCATAATTTACAGTAGTACACTGCAGCGTCTGATGGTACATGTGACCACCTCCGACAAGCATACAGTCTTGCTGACTACAATGTGTCAGTTCGATCGAACTGCACAACCCATCAAATGAAGTAGATGGAAAGGAGGCCACTTGTGACCATGAGAACAACATAATAACATGAGGACATCATTCGGGTACTTCGGATCGGCGGTAAGCTAGAAGGACGAGTTCGGATGAGCATACGCGCAGTGAGAACTCACCAATTGCTGCTTCTAATGCTGCCGAGTCGCCACTATACTTCTTCACTGAGAACCGTTTACAGAAACGCTTGCCGTTCTTTCTCCATCTCGCCACCCAGTGACAGGGGCCCTCCCAATATACTCCAACCACACCACTTTGCTTCGCACACGTCCCCATCCTACTGGGTACAGCCTCACCACGGCGTTCAGCATCCTTACGGCACTCTGAGGGTTGAGAGGAGCTTTGAATCTAGTAGCATCGCCTCCTTACTCGTGGCCAAGGCCAGTGCTTTCTCATCACCATACTTCGACACGGAGAAGCGTTCGAACATATGGCGGCCATCCTTAGTATCCCACTGTGCAAGCCAGGCCCAACGTTTACTATCCCAGGATACGCCGCGGACTCCACTCTGCCGTTGAGTGGCTTTCCCTGCACTGAATCTATCACTCCACAAGGAAGAGGGCCGCTGAATCCTCCACAAGGTTCTACGGCATATCCCGGCTGACTCTATGTTTTCAAACGACTTGTCCCTTTTTCTTAAATTGAACTGACCAGTAAATGCTGTAGTGTCAAATCTCACCTCTTCCCAAGCGGTTGACGAGCAACACAGCTCCCTTGAGCACCTTAGCTGCCACTTCGTGACAAGTACTATCTACCGCCCCAGGTGCGAGGTTGGCCACTGCCTCCTGAATCATAAGAGGCCGCCTCCAGCAGCTCCCCTCAGCCCAGATGCTTACGGGAAGCTTCGACTGCACAGCCTCCCTCAGTTCAGTTCGCCACTGTGATTCGAACATGGAGTAATCTGGGAAAGTGTGGTGGACGGTATGGGATGGGAATCTCACCAAGCCTCGCTGGTTGGATGCTCTGTGTGACTCTGACGACCAACTCCTCAGCAATTCGTTGGACGAGGAAATCCACATCTTGGTAGTTGGCACTGCTGATACCCAAATTATCAGCGTAGCCCCGCAGAGCTTCGACGCCAAGTGTAGACTTTAGTAGAGGGATAAGCCTTCCTTCTAGTGAACGACCACTGAGTCAGAGAAGGCCTAAGTCGTTGAAATTATCAGGGGCTTACAGTTTTAGCAACTCGGAATCTGAAGTCGCCTTGGAACCCTGAAAGTCAGTGAGTGACGGACCTCCGTGGGAGTTCCCTCATCCGTCATGGCCACCAATCGGGTCCCACCTCGAGGTTAAAAGATCGACTCCTCCACCTCGGTATGACCGGAGTCGTGCATCCAACTCGAGAAAGGTCTCGCTCCCTGATTACGAGTGATATGGTAGATGTGGTAGATTTGGGAAGGGTACCAGTAGCCGTCCAGACATCGCATGATATTAACACATCGACGGCTGCATTTGCCATCACATTCGACTACCACTGAGTCATCTGCTCGAGGGTCTTCCTCGTGATCATAGCGATGCTTACTCGATCGCCGCAAGATGGGACATTCCTCATGTGCGGCATCTACCAGCATACTGAGAGGCATCTTGAATATCTCTCGTGGAGGGTTGACGGAACTAGACGATAGCAATGGTCGTAACAAGATGCCGATGTTGTTGTGTACAGTGCCTAATGATGGAGGCCTCCCAACGGCACTCGGCGGTAGGAAGCCTCACATCCAGCGAGGCCCTCGAGAGGAAAAGGCGGATCTACACTGACTCTCAGCCATCCGACTTTAGTCTTCAACTCGGCAGTCGTAAACGGAAGGGAGCTCACTCTACCAGGGCACAGTGACGGGCACTCACTTGATATAGGTCAGTAGTTTCCAGTGTTGGCCGCGGCTCAGCCTGAGCCATGGCCAGCATCGTCTCAACGACAGCCCGCTGGTCACTGATTGTGAGGTACTGAAGACGTGGAGTGCAGGGAGGCCGTCGCTGTGATGACCAACCTCAAAGCAAGGTTTCACCTTCACAAGGTACGATAACTCCTTTCCATGGAGGCAGCCAGCCTGATGTGTACACTAATGATATGAAGTTGATGGGCCCTACCGAAGGGTCTCTCGTTGCATAGGCCTCTATCAGGTCACCATTAGTGAGGAGGGATGGTAGACAACAGATACCAATCTCATCACGGCTGCCTCTTCTATGCTCCATACAACAGCGATTCCAATAACGGAGCATCTACAGCGGACTAGCATGGTAGTCCGAGTCCAGCCATCAACTAGTTCCCTCACCTGCTGTACCGTGCTCTCACGCATTTCTGCACTGGTAAATGCGGTTTCGGAAGGTCCAGAATGACAGTACTCCATATTATGGCTATCAACCGCCAGAACTGTGATGGACACATGATTAATGTCAAGCTTATCCACGACTGCTGGGACATACGCCCAGTGCCCACGAGGTGCCTCTCGTCGTAAGGAGTGTAAGACTGCATGTCGTACTTTGCTATCGGATCGCGATGATCGAGTGGTCAACGATTTTGAATGTGGCTGGTCGATTGAGATGACCTTTGTGTTCAATGCCATACTCTTTGATTATATACCCCAACTCTGATGTTTATTAGATGTACAGAACCTCATGGTTGAGAATAGTTCTCGTGTAAGATCTCTGCCCGGAGCTGCCGGCCAACACCCAACTTAACTAGCGGCCTCTGTTCCGAGTTCCTTCAACTTAGCTTGCGAGCCGAATGCAACTCCCTGGTTGCATTAGAATGTCAGATTTCTTCACGTAGAGTTCAATGTCGGCGTTAAAACGAGTCGAGGCATCTTCTCTGGACGAGCGCGGACACAAAAATGCTATATTTTTTTTATTTTTTATATATATCAGCATTTTGGCGTTTCGTTATTAGTACATATATGATAGTGCTAACATGTTACCCGAGATGAAAATGCCTCTCTAGAGTTTTCTAAACCAACAATACTCAGGAGCTGTTGTAGACAGGTGCTGTTGTCCTCCCAGGGGTAGCGATATCGTGCGCTTTTGTCATAAAGCTTCTGTTCGGGTTAGCTGAGTAGTTCAATCTTCCGGGGTGAGCTGATTAGGAATACTCTAGTGTTGATGTGTTAGTTCGAGCTCTTTCTGTTCAACTCCCCGCTCCGGAGTAGAACATCAGGTGGTGAATACCACGATTATGTGTCAGCTTGTCCTTGCCTTGAGCCAGACAATTATCAAGGCAATTTCCGAAAATTTTCACCAGGATCGAGATTTCAAAAGAAATTCGATGATCGCCAAGAGCATCTTTGAACTTCTAAAATTTCAATTCAATCAAACCATTCCTCGTTGAGATCATATAAAATCTGGCATATAAAGTCTGAGTTCAGCAATCAGGATCGGCACTGAGAATTTAACACATCTTGCGAAGGCACCATGATGGGCGAGAACGTGTGTCGCGCATTGCGCGACGAATGGCGCATGAGACCATTAGCAATTTGGCACATGCTAGACCTACACGCCCCTTACCATCTACAAATGGATATACCAGCCATGATCGTCATACTGAAAGTTGACATGGCTTCAACGTAGATCCCCTCGTACGTTGCTCACAGACAAGAGTGCCTAAGTCTACCACCAATGCTAATCCAACACTACAATAGTCGCTCCCTAGAAGTAACACACAAAGCCGCAACAAGTGAGAAACCGCTAGACGAATGTGAACAGGGTATGATAAACAGCAATCACATAGCCACTCAATCGAACGTGCTCATCACTAACAGATGCTCAACGAATCACCGCGAGTCGTCGGCTGCCTGACCTTGCGCTGCGTTTGCACCTACCTATAACATGACGATAGCAAGAGCGACGATATCCGTACTTTCCTCCGCTGGCTGCTCTACTCCCTCAGTGGGGCCCGTACTAGGTGCCTCTGGACTGGTGTAAGTCGGAGCATTTCTCAGTGGAAGATTCCGAAAGAGGACTCCCAATACTGTGGCTATCCACAGCAGTGTGAATCTACGAGTAATAGTGGGCATTACCGTAATTACTGAGAGAGAATACCACTACTGAACTCATTTAACCTCGGCAATACCGAAGAGTCGACCCCGCCTCCCCAAGTGCTTACGCATATACGCAGAGGCGAGTGAGGCTTTGGAGTAGGGTTGTACTCCCATCGGCATGAGCTGCTTCGCTATAGAAGAGATATTTCCAAGTGAAGGCAATGCCTAACCCCGATACCTAAAATGACAAACCCTCGCATCGAACCTTGATCGCCATGTGGATAACATAAACGGCTATCGATTAGACCGATTTCTCCGAGCGACTTACAGCATATGCGAATATGGAGACGCTGTCCTCGAAGGTGTCCATTCTGTCCAGGTTAACAGTGTTGCTTCCACTTCTACCAGTAGTGCCATCTTCGGAGTCCCCAGATGCTTGCGATGTCTGGAGGAACCTAACGAGCCCTGTGACACCCTCCACCGAGAAGTATCTTTCCTCACACTTGAACCACCACATCATCGGATCGATTCAGCTTCTCAATATCTTTCAGTGGAACGTCTCGCGGCAACAGCGAACCTGATCATCGCAACCACAGCCCAGAGTTGATGGCATGCGAATGAAAACGGATGCTGTACCAGCCACTATCCATGTGGCCCTCGTGTTGCCTCCTTCGACGAAGTTCTCTTCCTTCAGGAGGTCGCATTCAGCCTCGGCTATAGTGAGATCCTGAGAGAGTATTCATCTTTGAATGAACGTAAGCAACCCGGAGTCGAATAACCACGAACGCCCCTCCGAAGAACCTTCTGACACAATCTTTCGACGAAGCACCCCACACATAAGCACACAAAGACGCCGTAGTACTAACCGAGCACCCATTCAAGGTAGACGAGACTGAAGCAACTACTGATTCGAGTATGGTGCACTGAAACTCACAGGGGTCCGGGGTGCATAGAGACGATCGTTGGTAACAACGATCCTGTACTATTGAATGCTCGATACGAACAATATTAACATCCAATACAATGACCTGTCTCTCCTTCAATACAAGTGGTGAAAACCTCCTCCCGATGAACGAACGGTCCGAACCCGAATTACCCCATCGACTGTTTTGACGAAGTCGAGCTGGTCCCTCGAGGCGTTCTTTCCTCCGCTAGCTATCCGCATTTTCAACGACATTAAACTCCGTCCCTCCGACTCTTTCACAGGCTGTGGGTCTTCTCCTTCTGCCACATCGCCTCGTGGGGGTGCGTCAGCCTCGTTGGGAGTAGTAGACGACATTATGAGCCAAAAATGTACTACGATGACCTCTTGATGGAGTTCCACCTCAACCTAAGCTGTTCAACTCTCTCGGACCATTCACGATCGTCGTTTAAAACATCCTCCTTGTCTGACGCCAACAAGTGTTTGATATTTTATTACTGCCCTTTATCAGCTCAAAAGGGCTCGATTCCGGCACCTGCGATTTCTTTGCGTGACTTCTGACTAATCCGATTGTGTAGCCTTCAGACATAAAAATATCCAAAACTATCCCGACAAATGTGATATAGACTATGTTTATGATACAGATCGATGACAAGTCTCAATAATGGCGTATCATGAACTATACCGCTCCGCTGGTCGCCGTTTCGGATATCCCAAGATACTCCTAACATACGCCGATCACATTCTCTATCTGTGGACCTATCGGGGTGTTCAATGGACCTCTCCCGAGTTTCAGAAGCGCTCCCGAGATTGGATTTCACATGTAAAACTTGATATCGGGAGCGCTCTTTAGACTCAGGAGAAGTCTATTGAACATGCTGTATGTATATCCTAGGAATATTATCATTAGAAGTATATTCGCCTCCTTGCTGCTCAGTTCCGTTATCTGTGGAGGCCCAATGTCCCATTTAATCTACAATGACATCATTCACGACACCTTGTCCTGAAGCGGCTCGTAAGTACTCGTTTTAACAAAGATACGACGACATAGCGATCATGTCAGAAAGCTATCAAAAACTATCAAGTGGATAGTTTTTGATAGTATCAACACAAACATTCGGACTGAATATTTCGACACTTACTCGTCCATCAGAGGCAGAAGCAGCATCTGGACACATTTCATCGCAGTTCGACGATTGGAAGTCTCGCTACGCCCAGGAACGGACAATCACAGTTTACAGTTGACGCGAGTCAGAACCCGAAACCCGAACAGGGAAGTGATTTGCTGGTAGCAAGCAAAAAATCCCACAACCCTGAAAATTATAACAGTAAACCAGATAATCTTCACAACTCAATAGAGTACTTCCCAAGCTTCAGCCAGCTTCAGCCGCAGGCTGCGGCGCAGCGCAGCAATTGACAACTGACCCCACCATATCACTTTTATATTCGGTTATTGTTCATTTTACATCTTCTTTTTAGTTCAGGGTTCTTTCATTTTCTTTCCGTATGCCAAAGCGTTGGTACAATAACCATCAAAATCACCGTCAGCGCGACTACAAGTGGCGGCGCACCGACTAGGGCTCAACGAGAGTCTTCTTATGGCCCTGGCCGGTTACAATCGTACATTGTTACGAGAAGCTGCTTGGACAAGTAAGTGTATGTTCATGGATTGCTTTACTACCCCATATTCATATTTTCAAGTGGAAATAACAATGCTAATACTACTACCGGCCCTATACACAGGTGCTGCCCATAGCTCTCACCGTACCAATAATATCGCAGAAGGACCACATTCTTCGTTGGGCAGACAGTTTGGACGAGGTCATCTAAGTAAACACGTCTTCAAGTAGAAGTTATTGGTCAGTCTGACTTGATTAAACATATGCATGGCGGTAGCGGCAGTAGGCTCACGAGAGT